ACACACACACACACACACACACACACACACACTCACAAATACACATACAGTCAGACAGAAAGACTGACATACAGACAAAGTAGAGAAAGAGGTTTATATAGAGAAGGAGGGTTTTTGTGCATAAATGTTTTTAGTAGGTGTGGAGGGAAAAGAAGACTGAAGAAGTAAAGTAATACGTACTATGAAAGGTTAAAATCGGACGAAAGGAGAGAGGAAAAAAAGAAAGACAAAGAGGGAAAAACAGATGGAGGGAAAAAGGAAGGTTTAACCAGAAAAGGGGTAGACATTGATGCGGACGAACTTAAACACAAATCGTCAGAAGTAAGAGACCTATATGTTATTGTAAACAGTCAGCCAGACGGACAGCCAGTCAGTCAGCAATACAAACAAACGTACAGACCGACGGATATACACAGATTGATAGACAGACACATATACACATATCCAGATAGAAAGATAGATAGATAGATCTTTAACTAGACAGATAGACAGATAGCTAGACAGATATATATATAAATAGATAGATAGATAGGTAGGCATATCGATAGATAGATAGATAGATAGACAGAGAGACAGATAGAGTGACAGACAGATAGACAGACAGACAGACAGACAGACAGACAGACAGACAGAAGGCAGCTATATAGATAGATAGATAGATAGATAGATAGATAGGTAGATAGATAGATAGATAGATAGATAGATAGTTAGATAGATAGATAAATGCCCGACTCACTCAATCATGTAGAGCAATGGGGTCTCCCTGCTGTCGTAAGGAGGGACCTCCACCCGGCTCCACGACAGGCGCACAGACTCCCTGTCTGCGTCATAATCATCCACCTTCAGACGGTCCACTGGAGTGTGGGTCAGAGCTGGGGGAAAACGGTGGTAATACATTTAGTAGTAATACGAATAGATGTACTACTACTACTACTACTACTACTACTACTACTACTACTACTACTACTACTACTACTACTACTACTACTACTACTACTACTACTACTACGTAT